CCCCTTGTGTTTCTCCTGTCACAGAGGATCAGAGCCTCGCAGGTGGATGTAGGACTCCGCTACTTCGGCATGTCCCTGTCTGGAGGCTTGGACATCAGCAGTGACGGCCTTGTTGACATCACTGTGGGCACTCTAGGCCAAGCGGCCGTGCTCCGGTAGGGGTCTGCTCTGCCTTCTGTTGTTCCTGGCCTCAGCCTCGCCCATTTTCTCCGCTTTACCTGCCCCCCTTGCAAACACCAGGCCCTGGTGGGAGGAAGTGCAGTGAGTTAGGGCACATCTGGGTGAGAACCTCAGCGCTCTTCTAAGGCCGGGCCTGCAGGCAGGTTCTTGAACTCTTCTAGGTCTCAGTGGCATCGTGGTTACAAGTTGGGCTGCTAACCTCAAGGTCAGCTGTTCAAATCCACCAGCTGCTCCTCAGAAGAAAGAGGAGGCTTTCTACCTCTGTAAAGAGTGTCAGCCTTGGAACACCCCCTCCTCCCCAAGGGACAGTTCTACCCTGTCCTATAAGGTCACTGTAAGTTGGCATTGACTTGATGACGGTGAGTTTTGGTGAGGTCTCAGTGGTCTCCCCTCTACAGAGAAGCGATGACAGCCACTCCCCGCTCCCGCCCCCCCAATCCCCGGGCCGAGCATGGAGCATCAAGTGAGGAGACAGATGCCAAGTCTTTAATACAAATGTTAGCGCTGGTGATGATGATGATGATGAAGAATTTCAGTTTCTGTCCTCCATCCCTAATGAACAACCAAGTCCCGTACAGGGATCTCCCATGTCCGCTCCACACCTCTCCGGACAGCTGCGCACGGGCATCTCAAAGCTCACAAGTCTATAATGTATGCTGACTCTCTGGTACCCCTCATGTCCACAGAGTCCAGGGGGCTTTAGCGCCTCATTGGTGCCTCTTTTTCCTTCCTCCATGTATTAGTCTGGGTACTTTAAAGAAACAAATCCACAGAAACACATGTATAAGAGAGAGTTTTATATAAAGGTTAAGTGTGCATCAAGAAAACATCCCAACCCAGTGCTGCCCAAGCCCACAAGTCCAACATTAACCCATTAACCCATATGTCCAACAAAAATCCACAAAGTCCTCCTCCACCTCACAAAACAGACACAATGATGCCGGCTGCAGGAGGAAAGCTGAGTCAGTGAATGTGTAAACATCTCAGCGCTGGCAGGGGTCTCCATACGGCTGCTCCAGCACCAGGGCTGCATCTGGGTGTGGCTTCTCCTTGGGGATGTCTTGCAGGAAGTCAGCCTTGCAAGCTGAAGCAGGGAACTGCTAAGGCAGCTGCATCCTGGTGCGACCGTCAGAAAGCAAGAGACCCTAGAACTAGAAAGGCGAGGCTCACCGAGCCATTTATCTTTCCGCCCTTCAATTAACCCCACATGTATGTATTGGCCAGGTTGGCACAATAAACTAACTGACTCACTCTACCACCCCACCAACAAGGTTTTCTTGGGCCTGCCTCGAAAACGCCTCAGAGTCCACCCCAATTCTCTCCGTTGCTGCTACCCCTGTGCAGTACAAGACCCAGAGTCTCCGTCTAAACCACCAGTATGGACAGTCTTCCTGGGTCCCCTCCTGGGCTCCATTCTCCACAGGGCCGAGAACAACCCCTTCACTTTACTGCAGCAAACCCCACGGTGGCTCTCAGTGGGGAGGAAAGCCCTACCTCTCTCCCCGGCCTCTCTCCCCGCCTCTCATAACTGCCTTCTCTCTAGGATTTTTCTCCAGCTGCATTGACCCTGCTGTGTGCCGACCAAGCCAAGTCACCCTGCCTGGTCCAGGCCCTGTCTTCTAGCCGTTCTCGCTGCCTAAAATGCTCTCCTCCTGGATTGCCACCTGGCTGGCTCTTTCTTGTTTGCAGAAAGAACTTAAATGCCTGCTCATCACCCACTTTAAGTAGCCACCCCCCCCCGGCCCCCGTCTCTACTACCCTATACTACTTTCTTTTCATTAGCACTAGCACCGAGTGGATTTGGCTTCCTGAGGATCCTGTGTCTCAGAGTCCAGCTGGGCTCCCTCGGGTTTTAAGTGGCGGAGATCTTTTGGAAACCAGTCACCAGGCCTTTCTTCTACAGCTCTTCTGGGTGCATTTGAACTGCTGACAGTTCAGTAGGGAGATGCGTACTGACCAACAGTATCTGCCACCCAGGGAAGAAGTCCAGCCAGAATGCCCCTTTGAGGCAAGGATGGCCTCCTTGTCTCACGTCCTCTGGACATGTTATCAGGAGAGACCAGTCTCTAATGGAGGGCACTACTGGTGTAATGTGGCTGCACCAATGGCCTCAGACATGAGGCCCATGTGAGGGTGACACAGGACCGGGCAGCGCCTCGCTCTGTTGTACCCGGGGGCCGCAGCGAGTCAGAACAGACTCTGTGGCACCCACCACCATCAGCAAGCCCCCCAGGGCCGCCATAGTGGTGCCAGCATGTGGCATTTCTGGTTATATTTCCTTTGTTCGCTTGCTGTCTCACTCTCCGGCTCGAGTGGGGACATAGCTCTTTCTCGCTGTAGAGTAGGATTCAGAACAGCACCTGGCAGAGTGGAGAGGAATATATAACCAGTCAAGCGCTGACCTGGTCACTGCTCACGGTCCTCTTGCTCTTGTTTTAGCTCCAAGCCTGTGGTTCGCCTGAAGGTGTCCATGAACTTCAGCCCCAAGGCCCTGCCCGTTGGCTTCAAAGGCCAGGTGACTGCGAATCTGTGCTTTGAAACCAGCCCTGGAACCCCAGCCACTGAGACAGGTAACAGGCAGCCTAGCCGGCCCACCCCTGTTTCGGTCGTCCCTGGTTGGGTGCTGTGGTGAAAGAGGGTGGCGTAAGCCTGGCGTGGGTGTTGTGAGGGCTGCATGCTTACAATCCTTCAGTATCAGGCTGGACGCCGCGGTGTCGGTGCCGCCTCGTAGCAACCCTGTTGGCCCCAGAACGGAAGAAACCCTGCCCAGGCTTGCCAGGTGTGCGCTGTCTCAGGAAAGGGTGCTCTGATGTAGAGTTCACCCTCGGAAGCGATGTCTCGGAGCCGGTTGAGAACAGGGTGGCTTCCTTGGCGCTGAAGGGCTGAGCTTCTGAGAGAAGACCCAGAGCAGGCAGCCATTTCTCCCGTGACCTGGACCCACCCACGAGTGGAGTGTGCGTGCCCGAGAGTAGGGGTTCCCGAGAAGGGTCCTGTCTGCCTTTTCTCTGGTTTATGCCTTCCCCCTTTCTCCCTCCCTCCTTCTAGTCTGCCTGGCCCAGAGTGTGTGGGGTGATGGTGGGAGGTGCATTGGGGTTCTAACTCATAGCGACCCATAGCACCGCAGAACGAAACACCGCCGGTCCTGCGCCCCCTCACCGTGGCTGCGATGTTTGAGCCCATTGTCGCGGCCACTGCCAATCCCTCTTGTCGAGGGTCTGCCTCTTGTCGCTGACCCTCTGCTTTCCCAAGCGCGATGTCTGGGCTCCTCTCCAGGCCCCAGTCTCTCCCGCGGACATGTCTAATATGCGGTACATAAGCCGGAGTCTTGTCATCCTTGCTGCCAAGGAGCGTTCTGCCTGTTTCTCCCAAGACAGATTGGCTTGTTCTTTTGGTTGCCCGCGATACTTGCAGCATTCTTCGCCTGCACTGTAATTCGAATGCGTGCATTTTAATTCCTTCTTCGGCCTTCCTTATCCAATGTCCAGTGTAATTGAGCACATGATGACTTGGGTCAGGGCACCTGAGTCCTCCACGTGACGCTCTTGCTTTTCGACCCCGCAGAGGGGTCTGGTGCTACCCACTGACCCGGTGCAATCTGGTCCCTCCGGCTGCCGAGAGCACTGAGTGTGGGTCCAGGCGGGCGACGAAAAACTGCCAGAGGCCTGGCCTCACTTCCTCACCCCCTTGCTCAACACTCATCAGAGGCCGTGTACAGCAGGCTGAGGGCGGGGCTGACTTTCACAGCCCAGGAATTGACCGGCTACCCAAGAACCCGCCCCCGCCCCCCCCAGATGAACCCCTCGGCGACAGTCCCCAAGGCTTAATCTCACGGTTCCTGTGATTCCAGAGAGACTGCTCTGCTTCCCAAAGCTTAGAGAGCCCTTGCCCACGTGGGTGACTTTAGCTCAGAAGGAAGTTGTTGTTAAGTCCAGGGCTAGAAAAAATAAAAGAACTATCAGTTCCAGCTGTTTAGACGGCAAGATCCAGGTTGTTATTTCAGCTGCTGAGTGACTGTGTGATGTTAAACAGGTCTCTCTGGGCCCCGGTGTCTATTTTGATCACTAAGAGGTTGGCCTAGATAATCCCCAAGGTGCTCCCAGCGCTGCCACCCTCAGGTTTCCCTCTCTGTTCCCTGAGATCTTCCTCCTGTTTAGTTCCCTCCATGCCACCCTCCTCCCTAAGTCCTCCTCCCATCGGGAAGGCTGACCCCCACCCGGGCTGCATTTGCTAGGTCATGAGGGACTAGGTGCCAGAGACCACAAGGAAGTACCTTTGAAAGGAAGAAGCTCAGGGGTCCAGCCTCTAAGAGGCCGTTCAAGGGGCACTCCCGGGGCACTCAGGCAGGCTGGGGGCCCTTTGCTGGGGCTTGCCCATCCCAGCTTTGCCAGGAAGGCCTCAGCGATGTATCTCTTCCTAGGCCTCAGGGGCACAGCCCTCAACTTCACGTTGGACGTGGACGTGACGAAGCAGTGGAAAAGGCTGAAGTGCCCTCACGAGAAGGCGTGTCTGAGCATCCTGAGGGAGTGGAGCAGCCCTTCCAGTCTCTGTGAGCCCCTCTTGCTCCTCCCCGAGCAGGGAGAGGTAAGTGGAGGCATTCCAGGGTCGTCACAGGGAAAGGATCTGAGGTGTGTGCCAAGAAGGAAACATGCCCGCATAGAAGCCAAGCAGGGGGAATCCGGGCGAGAGACCAAGAGCCTGGTAGAAGCCCGGGAGATGGAGGTGGTTATACCGGAAATCCAAGCAATGAAGCGGCACACTGGAAATGTGGGCAAAGGGAGAAACACTGTACTCGCTGGCATTGTCCGTGGTCAGGAATCCCGCAGGACAGGGGCCCCTTCGTCCAGTGAGCAGTGGGGCGGAGAGCCCTGCCAGGGTCCAGCGGGAGCAATTAAAAGGAGGACAGAGGAGACCCAGGCTGTCTCTCGGAGCTCTGTTCTCCTGGCACCGGTGCTCAGGACCCGAACGAGGTCTTCGCCAGGACCGAGAGAGAGCCACACAGCACCTAGCACTTGGAACAACAAACACCACTCATTCCAATAGACAAGCCCATTCCTACACATCTGTTTCTGAGGTGAAATTGGATTTAAGAATTGAATTTGTTCATTGGATGAAGAAAGAGTTGCTGGCCCAGCGGTTCTCAACCTGTGGGCCGCGACCCCTTTGGGGATCAAATGACCCATTCACAGGGGTCACCCGATTCATAATAGCAGCAAAATTATAGTTATGAAGTAGCAATGCAAATAATTTTATGGTTGGGAGTCACCACAACATGAGGAGCTGTATTAAAGGGTCGCGGCATTAGGAAGGTTGAGAACCACTGGCCAATGGCCTTCCTTAAATATAAGCATAACTATATATTGCAACAGAGAATCATGCTCACCTCTCCCCAGACATTCAAAGCTCCTGTCATGGCGAGAAGGTTCACTGGGGCAAAGAGAATGGCAAATGGCGTCTAAGTGAGCTCTTTATGAGGAGCCCTGGTGGTGGCATGGGGGCACGATGGGCTGAGGAGCAGTCCCAAGGCCAGCAGCTTGAAACCAACAGCTGCCCCATGGTCTAAAGACAAGACTTGCTACCCCATGAGAGTCACAGCCTTGGGGACCCCTGGGGCAGTCCCCCCTCTTCTACAGAGTTGCTGTGAGTCGGAATTCACTCAATGGCAGTGAGTTGTTTGTGGGGAGGGGTTGGAACAACAGTTCAAGGAGCGGCGCCCTGGCGACGCTGTTAGGTAAGCATTGGGCCGCTAACCATGAGGTTGGTGGTTGGAGCCCAGCAGACCCTCTGTGTGAGAAAGACGAGGCTCTCCTGGTCCAGTAAAGACTTACAGCTTTGAGAACCCCATACAGAGTGTCTAGGACCCAGAAGCAACTCAGAATCGACAGGAGTGTTCATGGAAGAATTCCATTATCTTTCTGCCTCATGAACTTTTGGAAGTCCCCTTGTATGTCATCATGGTGCTTTGGGAAAGATCTCAGTGAAACATGCATGTGACCCTGACTCTTCCCTGCACTGGCTCCCTCTCGCCCTGCGATGAAGGCTATGCCAGTTTTAAACTCCTGGCCATCAGAATCCCTCTTTGGACTACTGCAGACAAAGGAAGATTTCTCCCAAAAGTTCAGGAAGGCTTGATTGAAGGAAGTTTCCTTTCAGCCGGGCTTGCTTGGAAGGCACCTAGGCTGTCAGATTCCCCGATTGTATCGTTCGCTTCTTGTTGCGATGACATTGATGTGGAAAGTGTCCTCCTTGCCCCTTTTCTCTCCGTCTCTGGTGCTGCCTTCCATGGTGGCCCTGCATGCAGCTCCCCGAGGAAGACTACTTCTCCAACATCAGTATCAAGGTCAGCTACCAACTCCAGACCCTGCAGGCTGACAGGCACCACCCTCAGGCCCTCCTGGATCACTACACTGAGCCCTGGGCCATCTTCCAGGTGACTGGGACCCCGACAAGGATGCCACCCACCACACTGCCATCCCCACCACAAACACCTCCTTCCCTAAGTTAGAAACTGTGAAGGGGGTGGGGGCTCCAGACAGTAGCCAGGCCTCTTCCTATATAGATGGTGAAACTGAGTCCCAGAGAAGACGGTAACTTTCCCAGGGCCTCTCTGATTGGTAACAGAGGTCTCCAGACCCCTGTCCAGGGTCAGTTCCTTTACATTTGCAAGAAGGACTTGTTACCTGTGTAACAGGTGTATACCAGGATGGTCACTTAGCAAAGTAGGAGGGTGGGGAGGTCACTCATGATGTGGAGGTGTGGATCCCATGTGGGGCGGGCTGGCTTGCCCTGCTCTACAGAAAAGATGCCCTCTGGTACTCTTGCCTGTCTGGGCCTTTCCCAGAGCCTTTCTCCCATGCCTGTCCGTGCAGCTGAGACAGGCAGGCAGTGACACAAGAATCCTCACTCATTACCGTGGGAGAGATAAACAGTCAGGGTGCCCGAGCCTGTGGCACCTACGCCGATTCTGTTCCCCCCTGGCTGTTCTCCCATACTGCTCTCAGTCTCCATCCAGAGGCCCTCACAGAGTCCAGCAAAAGCAGCTGGAACAAAGAAGTGACGTGAGGGTCAAAAGTCATGATCATCCCTTGGAATGAATTGAGTCTCAAAAGAAAAGAAAGGAAAAAGGCAAAGGTAGTCCATGCTGGCACAGACGATCTTGAGTTAACATACGTATGTACTTAAGGTAATCATAGGACACGCGTGGCTGTCCAATATGCTTACCAAAATGCACCATAGTAATGATACTAATTTCATCGCCAAAAACTAGATCAGGTTTAAATTTCGATTAAAAAATGTAAAAAGCACCTGCGCTCTAATAGCCACGATGCCAGTAAGTGTGGGGAGAAGAGCTAGAGGACTGGCATCAATCATCTGGGTAACCCCACTCCCTCAAGCCCATGTGCCCAGGAAAAGGGGAGCGGCGTTCCCTGGGAGTGAAGATCGTCATCTTAATTTCGAAGGTGAAGAGATCTGTTTTCAAAGTGGTTCTTTCTGGTATTGACAGCACGTTAGATGATGCAGAACAGATGGGAGAGCTCAGGAAGGTTGGGCGGTAAGGAGATTATCGCGAATTATACATGCGTCCGTTTCGAGTGGTTTCTTATTTAGGGAATAGTTGATTTCCTGAAGAGTTACAAGAATGGCACACGGAGTCCCACACACCCTTTACCAGATTCTCGCAGCCTTAGCATTTTGCTGCTTTTGCTTGACCGTTGCCCCCTTCTCGCCCTTCCGCCTCCTCTCAGTGTCACCTAGACACATGTATGTGCATAGGAGTCCTGGTGGTGTAGTGGTTATGCATGGGGCTGTAATCCACATGGGTGATAGTTTGAAACCACCTGCAGCTCCCTGGGATAAAGACTGGGCTTTCTACTCCTATAAACAGTTAGTCTCAGAAACCCTGGGCTTTCTACTCCTTTAAACAGCTAGTCTCAGCAACCCGCAAGGGGGTCACTGTGAATCAGCATCGACTGGAAGGTAGTGAGGGGCTCCAAGAAGTTCATGGAAAAATGGATTTTCTAGGTCAATAATGATAAGGTTTATTATAACACAGTTTTGAGGTTGTCCTGTCTTCAAACATTATTCCGTATTCAGTCAAAATATTATCTGGATTTTCAACATTATTATGGCAAAATGAAATGAAACTACTTGATATAGTTCAACTCTCTGTAGTCTTTGTAACTCCACCAAATTACTGCAAATCATCAGTGTTTCCATTTCACTGGGTAAAAGCGAGTCCTCTCAGAAGGAGAAGGAGAACCTCACCACCACCAGGAAAGAAGAGCCGCTGGCAGAGTGTGTTTGAGAATCTGAGTGGAGAAGTGGTGGTGACAGCAGAGGTGCCAGAGAGCACAACACTCAAACCAGACAGAGTGGCAGGGTTCCCAGCCAAGAGAAGCAGTGCCTATGTGCCCATGTGCCTACAGGCAGGAGGTTGGCTTGCAGAGGGGGTGCCCTTTGGGTATTTACCAGGGCTAAAGTTGCTTTGTAACACTCGCCCAAGGAGGGCAGAGACCAAGGAGTCAAAAACTGAGACAAGAGACTAGAGAGAGATGTGGCTGCCAGCATGGCTGAGAAGACATGCTATGAACAAAAGAACTGTATCAGTCTTTCTGTTACTAATTTCTAACCTGTTAACTTCCCTAATAAGCCACATAATCATGAAAAGAAAAAAGGACTTTTCCTCAAGCGTTTTGAAACCCCTTGATATATTATTTTTTTAAAATAATTTTATTGGGGGCTCGTACAGCTCATCACAATCCATGCATACATCCATTGTACCAAGTACACTGGATATATTATTTTTTGAACCATCTGCAAGTCAGTTATAGATAGCATGCCTCTTGGCCCCCTAAATTCTTCAGTCTACAGTTCCTAAAACTTAAAGAAAGTTTCTTATATAACCTAAGAAAAATGATCCAAACCAGGAAATTATAACAGGGATAAAATACTATTATCTAATTCACAGACTTTACTTAAATTTTTCCAATTGCCCTACTAGAGGTAGGGGTGACCATGTTGAGAGCTCCATGAGTAATTGCTAGGTTGGGGCATTGGGAGGATGAGTGGGGGGGCGGGGTCTGAGAAGCATATTAAGGCCTCACAGCACCCCAAGGCTCTGTTTCAGCATGTGGGCCAACTTTTCTTTGTGTTTGTTCCACCCTGCCCTCCCATCTGCGCCACTGGCTGCCACAACTTGCGACCTGACACCCCGGCCACACTAACTGTACTGTTTGTCCTGCCTGTGATTCGAGGTTGTAGCACGGACTGCAGCACTACCTGAGTCACCGGCAGAGTCTGAGTGGTCTGGGGATCCAGCCAGCTTGGTCCATACAACCGATGCTGCTCAAATAACCCTCATCCTGCAACTATGAAGTGCCCCAACCCCCCAACAGCACCACCGGGGAGAATGTGAGAAGCCCGTAGATCCAGCAGACTCAATTGATGCCACCCACACAACTCATGTCATCCTCAAGATGTGGCTGCAGAAAGGTCCACCCTTTGCCCACAATGCTTATGGGGCCTGAGTGGCCTGTAGATCCGTCCCACCCAATCCCAGCAGCAGAGGCTTGCATCTGCAATGGGTCCCACCCGTCTGCCAGCACTGCCTGTGCAGCCTGAGCTGCCTGTGGCTAGAGGCCCCGGCCGGTGCAGGCTGAGCCAACCACACTGCCTCTGCAGCTTGTGACTCGCGCCTACGGCTCATTCTGCACTGCCCACTTGGGGCACCAGCGCCACCAGCTTCACGCAGCCCTGGCCACCTCAGTCCAAAATGCAGAACTGCTTTTACCAAACACAGACCCAATCAGCCCTGTCACCAGTGCTGTATGCACTGCACTTAATGTACCACCTCCAGTGCCACCAAAATGCCACGCAAACAACTCACATCAGCAGTCACTACCAGAAAGCAAGAAAAACAAATCCCAATGTCTGAAGAGGATCTGAACCTAGAGACATATATAGAAGAAGCAGACATTGAACCACCACAGGAAGACATTTTCAATGTTGCTTAGAGTCATACAGGATATGAGGGAATAAATACAGAAAAAGGATGGAACATGGAATAGAGTCCACATACCAAATGGAAATACAAGAGTTAAGGGATGAGGCAGTAGAAGCAAAATGGTAAAAGACATCACCAACAGGCTGGAAGAAGCAGAAAATCATATCAGGAACAGTAGAAGATATCCAAGCAGAATTTAACAAACATGAAAGACAATCAAAGAAGGTAATTAAAGAAGCTGAAGAAAACCTGAGAACAATGAGTGATGTTATGAAGAGAAAAAATATTCAAATAATTGGGATACCAGAGCAAGACGTAATAAAGAAATCAACAATCAAAATAGCGAGGGAATTCCTGGGGCAAAACTTCCCCAATTTAATAAAGGAGGATAAGACAATTATCCAGGAAGCCAAGAGGACACCAATTACACTGAACCCCAAGAAGAACACATGAGGGCACATACTAGTCAAAATATCCGCCTTTGAGGAAAAGGAGAAAATCATAAGAGCAGCTAGAGAAAAAATGTAGTCACCTATGAGGGTCCTCAGGTAAGAATATGCTCAGAATTAGCAGAAACCAAGAAGAGAGATTTGAGTAGCATCTTCCGAAAGTTGAAGGAGAATAGCTGTATCTGTGAATCTTGCCAAACTCGCCATCAGAATAGAAGGTGAGATAACAGTTTTCTCAGATCAGGAAAAATTTAGAGAATGTGTTAAAAAGAAAACCCAGCACTACAAAAATTGCTTTCCAACTCACTTTGGACAGATGACCAACATCCACAGAACACAAACATGAGACAACCGCATAATGTAACACTATCCAGAAGTCAATGCACTGAAAGCAATGCCCAAGACGTCTTGGACCCAATGGTGAAAAGCAGGCAAGAATGAGTCCCCCACATACACAACACACAGCTAAGGAGGGAGGTAGGAAAATACTTCTCACAAAAGGTACGAGATGACAGCAAAGTATTCACAGATGGATGTAATTACTCTGAACATCAGTGGTCTGAACTCAGCTATTAAAAGACAAAGACTAACAGACCAGATTAGGAAACAAAACCCATCGATCTGTTGTCTGCAAAAGACACATCTCAAATTTACAGACAAAAACAGGTTGAGGATCAAAGGATGGCAAAAAATATATCAAGCAAATGGCAATCTTAAAAAAGCAGGACTTGCAATTCTAATCTCCGACAAAATCAATCTCAAGGTGCATGACATAACTGGAGATGAGTATGGGCACTACATAATGATCAAGGGATCAGTAGACTCAGAGCCAGTGAGCATAATAAACATAAACATGCCCAATGAGAGACCTGTGGAATTTGTTGAATCAAATCCTTCAAAAGATGAAAAAAGAAATCACAGGATCAACAATCATAGTAGCAGACATCAATACACCACTCTCCAAGAAAGACAAATCAG